CAGCTGAGATAAGAGCAGAGGTCACTGCTCGAGAAAATCGCACCATCCATGAAATCACAAATACCCAAAGCAATCGTCTTCAAAAACTAGCAGAATATGAGAAAACAATGAGTTTGGCATCGGAGAGAATACAGCATTCATTGGAGACAGCAAGAGAGGTGACAAGGACGGCAGCGGATAGTGAGTTCCTCTCACTCTACGCAACAATCAACAAAGACTTGAAATTGTTGGCAGGTCAAACTATTCCAAGAGTTGACAAGAAGCTTGGATTTTTGAAGTTCATGCCGAGTAAGGGCGTAGGTGACATCTGTCTGGGCAAGGTGGTGACGGAAGGAAAGTGGGAGCAGCGATGTGTGTTTGGTCGCAAGGGAAGCGGTCCAGGAAAGTTCAATTGGGCTTGTGGCATTGCTGCTCGTCAGCCTGATGAGGTTGCAGTGGCTGACTGCTTGAACAAACGAGTTGTGACCTGCAGCATCGATGGTAACCAGAAAAGCACAATCCCGATGGAAAGACGTAAGTTTGGATAGAAACTGCTCACAGCGATACACTGGTGCTTTGTTTATCGTAAATAATTCATGATTTATTTTGGAATTACGATGTCAAACAGTGATGTATTCTGCCTGATGTGTGTGTTGGGGGCAAATTCAAAAGCAAAATGCTTTTCAACATGATGGTAGGAGAAAAAATGTCGAAAGCCTTAGGCCTACTCACAGTCCCAACACCCTTGCTTCAGTTTCGTGGTGTTGTTTTCTAAGGGTTTGTTCATGTTTGATAAATACTTGTAAATACACTGATTACTTTCTTCCTACTCACCTATGACGTATTCTTAAACAAACAGTCTAAACAACCCGTCGGTTGGGGGCAAGTTGCCGCCGCTGGATACGCCACTGGTGTCAAGCCACATAACAAATCTAAAGGCTTTTGGCATAGTCACATGGTACCCAGACGGAGGAGGCTCTAAGAGAAAAAAAGATTGGCATGTTTATTTTTCCTGATATTGCAGGATATTTCATTCAGAGAATTTTCTTCTCTCCAAAAAGACTACAAGGCGGCTTAATTGTACAATACCTGGATTCTTTAAAAACAAATCCAGTGAACCTAAATTCCGGATCAAACATTTTTTGTAAACATTCAGGCAAATATATGTCACATAACGACAAAACAGATATGCGCTTCAAATTCACTGCAACGAATGTTGGACACGTTGCATCTGCACAATGGTTCATGATCAACGTTTTGCCCCTTAAAGGCTCAAAGTGCATTTCTGTTTTTGTGAAGTATCTATTTGTCAGCGTTCATTCGTCCATGTTTAAATACTCTGCAGCACAGGTAGTGGGCGGTAACGAGGAGAACGCCCTCTTGCTCCTTATTTTGATGGAAAATTTACTTTCTTTTCCTAAAGTTCGTTGCCATACTACCGAGTGTTCTAGTGTATTAATATTACGAACATTTTAACGCAAGCCTGGCAACAACAAAGGTTGAGAAGTGACTCCGGCTGGGCTTATTGTCGTGAGGGAAGGAAAAATTCCAAATTCCACGGACTCGCTAGACAGGGAGGGTAGGCTGTTTCTTTGACACTTCTTCCAGGAACCTCATATTGATTATTTCATAATAGATAGTTCCAGGTTCCCGGGATCTATTTGTCGAGGAAGGGAGAAGGGCTGATCCTAGGTCTCTGGCTTTGTAACTCTTCATGAACGTGGGTGATTGGTTAATGCTTTTCTTTTTGTCTTTCAACTCCAAACAGGGCCACGTGGCATTGCAGCTACACGCACCGGCAATCGGTTGGTGGTTGTTGAGGAGAACGCATCCCACGTGAAAGTCTTTGACAAGGACAACACGCTGGCTTTCCAGTTCCCCACAGTGCCACCGAGTGAGGTCGGTAAGACCGCAGTGAACCTCCGGAGTGTAGCAGTCAAGACGGATGGGACTATTGTGGTTGGTGATATCAAGAGAATGGTGCTGACCGAACACAGCCCCACTGATGGCGAACTCAGAAGCACCATCCCAGTCAAGATTAAACCTCGTTATGTGGCTGTTGACAGCAATGATCGAGTCGTAATCAGTGACTGGGAACAGTTAGTCAGTGTTGTTGATGGGAATGGTGATACACTGTTCACCATCAAACCTATCATCAATGGTGAGGTAGTTAGACGCTGTACTGGTGTATGCGCAGATAGCACAGGCATCTATGTTGCAATGAATAATGTTGATGACACCGGTCATATCCACCACTATGACCCTCAAGGTGGTTTTCTCCACTGCATCGCAGAGGGTCTGCACTGGCCCATGGGAATCACATTCACAGCAGATGGGCAACTGGCAGTTACAGATGTGTACTCAGTGAAGATTTATGACTTTGTTTAATGTAACACAAACAAATCGATTTCCTTCCGCTTTCTTCAGGAGGAAACAGCAGTAGCATTAGTCGGAAATGTTGCGGTGTAAACAACATTGCATTTAATTTCATCACTTCTTTTTTATAGAAAATAAGATACACAAAGGTTTGCGTAGGCTTACTGCATAGCAGAAATGGAAAGCAAACTACATTAAAATTTCACTGAGATGGGATTCAAAAGTATGGGAGCTACATAAAGTGCTTTTTATTTAAACAAATTTCCTTTGTCGGTTTTGCATTGTTAACTACATTTTCTCACGACATGTGAACTATTTTCATAGATCCATTTAACAGTAGTAAATGTATCCCAATATTGGTGAGTTATGCCTACCGTGAGCGCTCACAGGAGATAGGGGAAGTTGTTAGCTCGTCTCATCAAAAGAATCATTCCCATTTTAATGAACACATCTTGCAGGGGATTATCAAATTGAGGAGAGTATAAAAACTTAAAAATAATGTGTAGTCAAATTGTTCTCATTGAGATTTACATAAAATTTTGATTTTTAAAAGCTTACATTGTGTGAGTAGTGGGATAGCGAAGGTCTCATCATTTAAATAGTGAAGTACATTTGTAAATGTCGATGTGGAACTCACGTTTGGAGGAATATTCCCCTCATAACTAAACTGTCCCTTTGTGTTGAACCGCCTTATTCTTATTTGCGGTTGAATGTATATTACGAATTAATACCTCGTTAAAACAGGCCCAATGTCACCATTTGGAGGAGAGTTATATTGATTCATTTCCCTTTGCAACTCCTTTCGAAACAAAATTCATTTTGTTTTCTTTTGAACTCAAATGAAGGTTTTGTTGAAGATTTAAATGATGTTTTTCTCGGTGGCAGAGGCAAAAGCAAGATGAAAAGTAGGTTATAAAAAGCTTTATTGACTAATTGCTTAATGTTCTTGGATTTTATTTACATAGTTTTAATTACTGACAGCAACAATATTCCACTGACAGAATATAAACGTTTTCAAAGACTATGCCTGAGTATTATTTAAAGGCAACATGACCTTTTCATTTTGTAAATGTGAATAATTATCATGACGTAGGTAATTTACATTGTAACAGTTATTTCCATACCCATGGATAACGTTGTTACTTTTCGGCTGACCTCCTTGAATGCTTCCTGCACAAGGAAGGGTTGAACACGCATCTAAACCTCTACCAAATAAAAAAGCTAAGTCCCAAGACTCGTTTTGACAGTGGACAGATTTACTGGATTATCCGTATGGCTGTATAGTTGCCCCTTGTACTATGTAGTGATATGAAGTAAGCCGTACGTTATCAGTAACCAAGAAGTCTTGTGGACGTATCAAGAACCAGACCCGTAATACGACAGCTCTCCAGGAAGTTTGTGAGAGAGCTGTTAAAGGGTGCCATAATTGAGGTTGTTTAATTACTCCTGTTTGTTTGTTTGTTTGCGCGTGACATATGATCTGGTTGTCAGTAACAAAATCGTATAGTCTAAAGGAAAACCCTCTTGGGTATTTAATGATTTTTGTGATAAAGTCTGAAGTGTAGGGACATTGCTGTTGCAGTATGAATAAAATTTACGTAGTCTGTGTTTGATAGAAGAGCTTTGCACATCGACTGCTTTTATTTAATGCTTTGTTCCTTTAAAAAATGGAATTTCTTCCTTCTAGGCTGTAGTTTCTGAGGGTGCCTGCATGTATGTATGACAGTACCCCGGGTAGTTAGTTGGGTCAATACATCAAAGTTGAGTATTACAAGCAACAAACATCTGTGTCATTGTGTCATTGGCAAAGTCCGGTAGGTTTGATGGATTTTGTAGTTTTGACAGTGTTTATAGGCTTTAATAATTTCATAGAACTGTGCTTGAGTGAAAGCGAACTGACCATTTCAATTTTGTCCTGTGAATGTGTATCATGACGTAGCTATAATATGCGTTGTGCCTCGGTTATTTGCATATCAGTGCCACAGTTGTTTGTGTTGACATCCCAGTGAACTGCAAGCCTCCGGCGTAAAAACGGGTTGAACCAGTGTCTAAACCTCATCAGAAAAATAAATTCCAAGAATAAGATTTATCGTAATATTACACAGTTACCCCTTTTGCTATGCAGTGAACTAATCATGAACACAGCTGGCTATGTACGTTGCCTGTATAGTGCATTCGGTGTAATGGACAGCCGTCGGGGTAGTAGCGACTCTAATTCGAAACGGACTACAATTTTTCTCTGGACTCGCCGTAAAGATTATTTGAAAGCGTAATATGCATGGCCACAGTTGGGGTTGGAGACTCTCGTTTCGTGTCTGTGCACGACACAGCCATTATCTGACCGCCAATGACGAAACTGTACAGTGTAAAGGAAACCCCCAATATGACTGTCGGCTTTCTAAGTTTCATAAGAGAATGAACATTGCACTATCTGATATAAATGCACGTAGGCCCTG